TTGTTGCTGTGCTCAGTCTTGCCATGGCGGAAGACCTGTGACATGAAACTGTCTTCCACAACCTCACCTTAGTAGCAGAATTTGGCTGTTCCTCACCCAATTTTAAGCTTTTTCTGTTTCAGTTAATGACTGTGTTTCAACCTACATATTGAAATTGATGATCATTAGCACCTGCTTGGTATAATTGGTTAATCATATACCTGACTCTAATCCTATAAGATCCCTGACTTTGTGCAAGTGTACAAAGTGTGCAAGTATAAGAACTGATGCTGGTTTGAAGCCAGGGTAGTCACACCAAATATTGATTTGATTTAGATTTCTCTTCTGTTTGCTCACTTTGCATTTTGTAAAGTGGTAAACAGAAACAATTACAATATATATTTTTGAAAGCATTCTTACTTTACAGCATTTTTTCACACCTGTCAAACCTTTGCACAGTACTGTATATAAAATTGGTATGAAAAATCAAAAGGAACAGGTAAAAAAGAAGGTATCATTAAAAGAGGAGAATATAATAGCATGGCATAATTCTTCAAAATGATTTCATGGTAGGACCTCTGTAGTAACTATGGTTGATGGCAGTGAAAGGGGTAGGAGATATTCTTCCTGGAGATGGGAAAAGACTGGGGACTGTTCCTTTACCAATGATTAAATAGTGGGTTATCTTGTATTTGTTTGTATGCATTTACTTTTGGCACTATAGATCAATAATTTAAAAAGAGTAACTTTTAAATGAATATCTTTAATATAATTTTTGCTTGTTATTATATTCTTTGCTTTCATATTTATTGGATTATTGTGGAGTAAGCAGTCCACTTTTATGGACAAGTAACTGGCTAAAAATATGAAGCAGAGAATATTGCTACTTGAATAATTCTGATAATGAGGAAATATAAGAAATTAGGTTCTCGAAGATATGTATTTATTCTAATACATTTATAAGAGGTCTTGATTCAGGGATAATCTATGAAATGGCCAGGTTTTACAGCTGACACAAATTATTTAGAATGGTGAAAACCAAATCAGACTCTAGACACTGCCAACATTCTTCTTAGCCATATATCTAAACCACATACATATAAACAAACAAATTCCATGAACTAGAACAGGAGAGGTGTCTTGGATTCATAGTGAATAGCTCACTGAAAAAATGTCCAATGTACAGGAGCTTTGAGAAAAGCAAATTCAGTGATAGAGATTCTTAGGGAATGGATCAAAATAAAGTATAATATTATAATAATATGCCTATAAATTTTAAATCTCAAAATGGGTTCCCCAGGAGGGACAGGTACAGTATTCAAGACTTTCTGATTTAGAAATAAAAGAGGATGCAGTACATGACATTATATGTGATATGGAGAAAATGGATTAAAAAAATGTCCCCTTGCTCATTAAGCATGAATTTGGGGATATTTAATAAAACTGATTAGCAGGAGTTTTAGGACATACATTATTTCCGAATGTTTATGTAAATGTAAGTTAGCAGAAGCTGATTAGGTTTTCTAATAATACCAAATTATTTATGAGGGGGGAGGGTGGTAAATAAAAAGTGAAACAACAATCCAGAACAATTTATCTCAACCAATGGAATATACATTAACATTAGAAGTAGTTCAGTGTAAGTATAATCGATGCAGATTGTGGGGAAAATTTTAACTTTACGTGCATTCTGAGGGGGACTGACTTGGTAATCACAACCATTGAAAAGTCATGGTGGATAGCTTGAATAAAGTGTCAGTCTGCTGTGAAGCTGCTGTTAGGTGTTGGTGATCATTAGGATATGTTTAAAGAAACAAAGCAGCCAGTATCATGATGCATGTATAACAAATAAATAAACAAGTAAGGCCTGGCTCTGCCAACTCGCGTGGAGCAAGAAGGGATATAACCAACTCTGGGGTTGGCTGGTGCCTTGAAGACACTCCCTGAGTCTAATAACTTCTAGTTAACATCAGTTCCTTAGAAGCTATTTATTTCTATATAGGAATCTTGTTGTATTTTAATGTATTTTAATGAATATTTATTCTATTTTAATTAATATTTATTCTTTTTTCTGTAAACCACTCAGAGTCACTCTGCAGTGAGATGGGCAGTGACAGATATGAAATATAGATAAATAAATAAAT